AGCATACTGCTGGGTATTCATTTCTACTAAATCCATATTTAATTCCCCTACACTTATTTCTGCTAGGGCTAGAGGTGAAGCGTTTTTTCCACTGGGAGGCTGATATTTTGTTTTGAGGATTTCTGGACCTCGGAAACTTCAGATAAAGAAATTATCAAGAAACAATCCAAATTATGTTAAACCAGTTATTAAAACTGCAACATTATAAACAATTAAGTGTACTTCAGAAACACCTTCTCGAAAGCATAACGGCGTGGACTTCACGAGTCTGGGCACTGAATACAGGCGGCGGTGACTTCAGCCATCCACAGTTTCGCGTTACACCCACCCAGATTGCTAGCTGTATGCGCGCGTATCTCTAACTGGTCAAAAAAAACGGGCTGAGGCTACGCTACTGTATGATACTCCCCCAAACTGTTCAAAGACGAGCTGAATCTGCAACTGTATGCGAAATTAAAGTAATTGCTTGATATTGTATGCGATTAAAGTGCACGGGAGAACCTCTCCGTTCGGTAATGAAATTAAAAAACAAATATTGGAAAAAGTAGGGTTGCACTGGCCTGATCCTGCATTTTCGCATCGACAAATTTACGTAGCTCAGGAGTAAATTCTTTATTTGACCCTGCTTTCTAACATTCGACTAACTTGACATGTTAGTACCGCAATGACAAGAAAACAAAGAAATTACATTAAGTAGGTTACTCGTATCAAGTAATGCAGAAAGCTCTGCATTCTAAATGTAACCCGCGTTATAACGTACTAATGTATATGAAAAGATATTGGTTCAATATTTTGCCATTTTGGCGATGAACCAATACAAAATAATACTCTATATTTTCTTTGATATTTGATCTGCGCAACCACTGCATAACACATTCAGTTTTTCGACTAAAACTCAACCTGTTTTGACATTTTCAAAGGACGTGTATATGGAACACTTTCTGACACCCAACGTCAATCTACACGCTCGCTTACATATCCGGTATTCAATCTTCACAAAATTCCACATATTTCTGCAGAGAGAACTTTATCAACGGTACTGCACCTGGGCGTATCTGTTCGGAGACTGGTGCAGGAAGGCGTTGTTTTGCTGCATCCGGAAATGATATGAAATAATTGGGGTCCCTGTAGGAAGTTCCCGCAGCTACGTCCGGCGCCGCCGAGCCGGCGATTGCAGCTTCCGGAGCCGGTGAGAGGCTATCGGCCTTCGTATCGCCCGAGGTGTTGCGCAAGCACGTTGTTGCGATTGCGGCAGATCCGCAGGCGCCGATGCCATCGCGTGCGCCGCGAGAGAGCGAGAACGCCGCTCAGATGGCTCAGAACAGCCGTCAACCGCTGCGGCCACCACCGCCTGCGGAGTAGTCAATGTTGTACAACGGGAGGTGGACATATTTCTGCCTATGGTGCGATCCGGCCTCCACCTATACGTCAACATCTTTTTACTTTAATTTTGTAGATGAGAACCATTTCGATAAAACAAATAGTTGACGAGATGCAAGCAAAAAACTTAGGAAAGAATGATTGTTTTCCCTTCAGTTTTCTTCGCTGATTGATTGATTAGTGATTCCGAACTTGCCAACGGCCAACGCCACTAGTCCCGTAAGTGTATTGCATGGTTTTCTTCCTGCTGGAGGTGGCGGTGATCTTTCCCCACCGGGTGATGAAATTCAGCACCGACGTTCACTGGCCTCGTGTGGATTTTCCTCATCCAGGATATCCCTAATCCTTACCCAACCGAGACAAGCTCTGACTGCTTCCCCGCTGTGTGATAGTGTTATTAAGGGGTGAGAATAGGACCAGAACGAGGAAGGCAAGATCGCGCGCGGTCCATGGCCCGTTTGTTAGGGTACTGCTGCGACATTCGCCTGGTGTTGATCGGAGAAACCACGGAAAACTACCGATCAGAACAGCCGGCCACTAGAATTCTTCTTCAGACAGGCGGAATTCGACCTATCCTTCTAGCTAGTGCTTTGAGCCACCTTTGTCATACACTTTTCTTTGGAAAGGTGACATTTCTCGAGGTGTCAAACCTCAAATTCGACACCACAAAACACATATTCAAACGGAGATTAAAAAAAAATTCTGAGTTTCTCTCTTACCCGTAGACGTTGTGGCTGGACAAACACATTTTGCAGCCCTTCAAATTGGCATATAACAATTCCAAAGTACGGAATGGAAGTTTGCTCCTGTGGGAGGAAACTTTCAAAATGTTTAGAAAGTAAGAACAAGAAGTGACATGAAAAACCAGCTTTATTTTGTTTACTAATAGTGAATGACACGATTAGTGCACATAAGCAGGCTGCGAGTATTAGCGAGAAAGTAAACTCGACGCCCATGGCAACTAGGCTAGTAAACATTCCTAATATTTAACTACCCAGTTGTTTCCTATTTCCTTTATTTGTCTCAATTAAGTTGTTTCCTTTATATCTCAATTCCACAATTTTATGGTGTGCATATTAAAATCCAGGAACTAGTATTGGATCACGGTAACTGTGTCCCTGGCAGGAACAAATTAACACTTATTCACTTGTGGGCTCTGTTCATCCAACGATTCAGGGGTCATTGGGGGGATCAGTTTCATCTCTGATCCGATCTGATAATCCTGCACCGTAGCGCAATCGAGAGACACGTGAGGTAGAGTTGAATCACGCTGTAGATGATTGTTGACGAATTTGTCAACCTTTCGATAGAGAATACAACTTGAAACATTTTTAAAGAGGTAAGCCGAAAAAAACAAACAAATAGGGGTGACGAGATTTCACATTAAAGTTGAGAAACAATAACGAATTTAATTCAAATTCAGAAATAGATGCATTAAACATTCAAATTGAACATGTCAATTAATTCTAAACCTAAAAAGATGTCAAATCTTAATCTGGTTCATTTTAATCTTCTGGAAGTTACAATTAATGATAGGATTGCTAAAAGGATAAGATGGCATTCAGTAGGAAAACATACAAAATCTCATTGTGAAATGCAACTGAAGATAACAAGGTTTTCATCGATTCAAATATGTTGCAAACTTCACTATTGAATATTGCATAATTTACTCGTAGAATTGCTATGACGCTAGTCAGTTGCAACCGCATATTGGTAAACATAGATTTTGATCTGAATTCGTTACGAATACGCAAAACCAACATTTCAACCTCATCCGGAGGAAAGGAGTGTAGGAAAAGTCGTTGAGAAACAAATTCCACTTTGTTAAATTCTAACCACATGATTGTAACAATAGCAGGAAGGAAACGCGTGTTGCAAGAAGAGCAAGCAATTTATGAACTGGGAAAGGGAATTAAAAGTAAGAAACTAGTGGTGCTACAGAATAAAACAGACTTTCTCGTACTTCTTAGTTTTCTAATTTCTCCGGATTGGGTTAGTTTTTTGGTCTTGTTATATCCTCTTGTCAGCTGTCATCTACGGCCGCCTAAAGTTTGTTTTTTGAAAATTTCTCAGTTTTTTGATTTGCTAATGGTAGCTAGTAATAACATTACTTAATAATATTATAAAAGAGTAAATCATCGCCTTTAAAAAAAATTTCATTCAAAAATTTAGAACCGTTTTTAAGAAAGTATCGTTCACGCGTTACTGTAAATACCAAACTTGAAGCTCTTTTTCACTTTTGAAATGTTTTCAGTTACTGAGAAAAGTTATCAGGAATAATTTGAAATACTTCTACTCTCAAATGTAAAAATGTTTACAAATTGCTGGAAATGTGTGTATTAACAGCGTGAGAGATATTTAAAAAAATGTATTTGCATTTTTTTTAAACAAAAGAATACAGCAAAATTACTTATATGTGATCTTAAACCGTATATTTGTCACTACTCATAAAAAAGTTAAAGGAAAAAACTCGGAGCCGATTTTTGAAAAAATGGTGTTTGAGCGTTTTTGAAAGTGCGGAAATTTAAGCTCATTTTCACAAAATATTTTGAATAAACTTTATCAGACATTATTCAAAGTTCATGTACTCAAATACAACAATGCAAACAAACTACCAATAATGTAAATATCAATGACTTGAGAGAGATCTCAAAAAATCATATTTTTGTATTTACCTCCACAAGAAAACAAATAAAAAACTAAGTGGCATTTGTCATCGTATACAGCACATTTAGCACTATCTCTACCAAAACTTTCAAGAAAAAAGTTGTAGCTGTTCTTGAGAATTTTTTTTTATTTTTAAATATGGCACATATTGTACGCAATATTGCGTGAAAAGTACTAAAATTTTCAAAACCGTGTGCTTGACCTTAACGAAAGAACTAATTATGGAGAAAAAAATTTACTTGAAGGGAAAATCTCTATCTTCAATTTTCTAGACGCCGAAAACCTTGCAACGTTTTGCAAATTTTTAAAATTCAGAGTAAACAGTAAAAATCGGGCTTATGTCATCTTTTCACACTATTTTCACTATATTTCCATTTTTCTCTATTCTCACAAGTAATTTAAAGAAAAAAATGAGGTCATTATTGAAAAAATAGTGAAGATGTTCCAGGGGCATCAAGTAAAGTTCACCAAAAATTAATGATTTTCAAAATCACAGAGATTCGATTCAGTCCAGTTTGACAGATTTTTCAGTTTGGCGGCGGTGGCGTGGCCCGTCTGTGCGGTTTGCGGTGGTTGTGCGGGTGGGTGGTGGGTGGGTGGGTGAAGTGGTTCAGTGGCGTGCGGTTGCCATGTTGGCAGGTGGCGTGGCGGGTGCGGTACAAGTGCGTGCGTGCCGGGTGGCCGGTGCGGTGGCGTCTGTGTCAAGGTGGCCGTGGCGGTGCGTGGCGTGGCTTGGGGTGGTGGAGAGTGGGTGGCGTGGTTGCATGTGGCCGTCGCGATTGTCGGACGAGGCGAGTATATCTCGGTTGGCAGAGGTGGCGCCGGAAGCGGCGACTTGAGCTGCGGCGGCGGCGCGTGTGGTGGGCGTGGCGCGGGGCGGGCGCGAGGGGAGGGGGCGGTGCCGCGCAATGACTCCGCGCCCGCCGCCCGGCCATCTCCAGTCGCGCCGCTGCCGCTGCCGCCGACGCTGACCGCTGACGCCGCCGCCGCAGCCAGCCTCCCGCTGCCTCCGGAAAGCCCCGTTGCGATCGTGTGTCTTCTTACGTCAACAACCGCGAGGTAGGTGGCGGCACAAGTGACACACGCATGACGATATTATGTCGATAGTCACTCGAAGAAGTGACTCGATCATCGACCAGAACCTCAAATATGGTTATAGTTTTCTATGAAACGTATATGAAAAATGTTGCATTTGGGATATATCATGAATATATCATGAAAAATAGTGGACGATCCGAAAATGGGACTTAAGGGATCAGAGGGTAAATATGCGAAGCCATTCGCGAAAAAAATATTGTTTTTATATAGTTTCAGTCAAGTGATAAATTTTAAATTTTTAAATTACGATAAAAATACAGATATTTTGAAACGTCTCTACATGTAAACAGATGTAATACCATGGAATCAATTGCTTAAAAAAAACATATCGAGCTTGCTGGCTGCCACAATAACAGTGATAAAGACGAACCTTCTCGCTGAGCTAAAGTTAACTCATTATGATCAAGAATCAACTGTTGATGTTCACAACCATTCTGATCAATTCAATGAGTATCGCGTTATGCTTCTCACGGCAGCCAACGTGTTAATAATGAAGTGGAAAGAGATTCGTGAATAGTTATACTGCTGCAATTTTGAAAAGTTAAGTGATTTTATTTGCAAATCTGACTTTTATTATATTTACAAATGCACTGTGATATTATAAGCAAAAATATCGGAAAAAGTTGAGTTTGATTCAGAAAAACTTGGAAATGTTACAAGTGTTTTCATGAAGAATATCTTAACATTAAAAGACTTCTATTAAATTTCCAGTCCTTTAAGTTGATCGAAATCCATCAGCCAATACAGATTGTTGGAAAAATGGGTATATTTTCGATATTACTTCTTTTGCACGATTAAACTATTAAACCGTGCATTATTTATTTTCTTTGAACTAAATTTCTAAAACTCTACTTTGGATTCACATCCATGAAGTAAGAATGGATGTATGAATGATGTATAGCTTGGAATTTGATCGGAATGAAGTAACACATTAAAACATAGTTGGGAGACGTTTCGAAATATTGTTATTCCATCCTCGGAGTGGTGGTAAAACATGAAAAATGTAGGTGCATCATTTACATTCAGTGTAAATAACAAAAACTTCTACTTTATCATAATCTACATAAAACTGATTATACTGACTAAAAAAATCGAAAATCTACCATTGTCTCATATATTAAACTATTCAGTCAAACTCATTATGAACGAGGAAAACCTACCAACCAGTTTTCAAGTGCAGCTTTTAAAAAAGAAAGACAAATCTCTTCAATGGTCGTAACTGTTTTGTTATGCTCTCCCACTATTTTTTCTTGTAGTGTTTTTTCTTGAATGGAGATGACCTTGAACATGACTTGGATCGTGTAAATTGAACGAAGACCTTCGTATCTAATACTAGTGGAATTCACCCGTGATCATCGAGAGAACAAATGTAAATATACAAAAATGTCGACATAAATTCTGTATCTTATGTACTAGGGGAAGTATACATATATTACATAATAAAGTTAACCTCCACCACTATTATTTTAGTAATACAAATAATAATAGTGTAATTCTCATTATAATATTAATATAATAATTGGGTATATAGACTTATCCTTACTATTATTATATGAGATTTGGAGGTATGACAGCTTGTTAAGCAATTAAAATTGAAGTCTTTTCACATTTTTGGTGTTCGTAGTCTTGTGTCATATTCTCCCCCGTCTCTTCGCACATTTTAATTGATTTAAAGCTGAAGTACTACCAATTCATTTTTGAATTTATATTTATATATATTTCTAAATTTTAAAAAAAATGTAAACGTCGTACCTTACACTATCTTACCGAAATGTGCCTAAATAGTGTAGACAATTTGCGTCATCTGAATATTATTAATTGTTTTTATCCGCAAAAGGTACTTAAAACTAGTTCTAAATGCAATTATCCATATCTTAGCTTTCAAATTGAGGCTTTCAATGCCCTCCAATATTTACATCCTCTAAAATGTACTCCAATAAAAACTTTCAGACAATATTTAGAATAAAAGTAAAAAACTATTATACTATTCGGTTTGTCTATTATACTCTTTTAGTTGTGCAGCGAAACTACAAGAGACACCCTAAATAAAATAGAATTACGATTAATCGAAGTAAAAGTTTCATCTAATCCTTTATTCTGACCAGATTTAATTAAAAATCAGCACATGAGATATTTTAAAAGAGAAATATCGGAATACAATTACAACAGAGATAGGAATATTCGGGATCCGAGCCGGAAGATATGGCACAGGGCATCAACTGATCGCACTGCAGTCCCTCTGATTGGGAGATCCTAGGTTCGAGTCCCGGCGGTTACAGGATTTCCGACACTAGCTTGTCAGATAGATCGAGTTCAGTCGCTGTCTGAAGAAGAATTCTAGTGGCCGGCTGTTCTCGTATGAATTCTCGGCTGTCCGGGAGACGCCGCGTCGTTGGCTGGGGTGCCGACGTTTCGCCCGACATTTCGCAGGCTTCCTCAGGGTAGTGACACTGCGGCGCTACGCGCCCGTTGATTTAAACTATCTTGCCTGGGCTCTCGGGAGGGGGCAGGTGCGCTGTGATTGGCGGAGAGGTCTCCCTGATTGGCCGGCTGTCTGGGCCAACCTGGGCCTAGCGCCGGAGGTCCCAGAGGTCCCGGACAGCCGAGAATTCATGAATTCGAGCCGCGGAAGCACATCTGTTCTGATGGTAGTTTTCCGTGGTTTCTCCGATCAACACCAGGCGAATGCCGGAGCAGTACCCTAACAAACTGATCACGGACCGCGCGCGATCTGCCGTGTCCTATCCTAACCGCCTGTTTACACACATTTACACTCACATGCACTACACTACGATACATGCCGGGAGACTAGTCGGGAGCTCAGAGCTTGTCCCGGTGAGGCGGTTCCCCCGAAGAGGGAGATACTTGGTTAGGGAAAACCCCGCTAGCCGACAGTAGGTCGACGCTGGATCTCGCCATCGAATGAGAGAAGACCACCTCCCGAGCAAAAACATGCACTACACTTACGGGACCATTGACTGTAACAATTGATGCGCCCGGAATCAATCAAAACCCGAATCAAGGGAAATAAGTTCCTCCTAGAATGCATGATGTATTTCAAATAAAAATCCTTCAATCAAGATCAGTTGAGTAATATTCTTCACAAATTCATAATGTAAAATAACATTGAATTTTTTTTAACTCAACCGTTCAATTTTTGTGAAGGAGAATTACTAAACAATAAGGTGAATTACTATCAAGTTACGAAACAAGATCATGAAGAAAAAATGACAAATATTTAAATTACTCGTATAATGATATTATAAAAACTTTCTTCTATATCATGATTCGTTCAAAAATAACCATGATAGCGGCGTGTGAACGACATTAAATAAAAAGTGATCATCAGTACATGCTTCAAAGTTCAATGATATAACATTGAGTAGCTTACTCGCACTTACATTTTCAAAATGTAATAAGTACGCACTAGGTAGTAGTAAGCAATATCAGGAATGAGGATTAAGAGAATTACGTAAAAACAAAAAATTGCATTATTAACCCAATATTATGTATATTGGAGTAACGCATTCATGCAGTTTGATTTTGTTCGTTTCCCGCAAAATTCATTGTACTTGTAAAATCTTTAAAAAATTAATTCCTTTTCCCGGTAATACTCTTCTAACTACCATTACTCTTTTGCACAAAGAAACAAAAAATGTATTTGTGACAAACCGCACATATCTGCTCGCTTATCTATAACGCCTTTGTACATCCTCTTTGCGGTTGAGCTCATGACTACTCTATAAAAGTTTCCTCGTTCTGAGAGGAATAATAATTGTTATGATTAAATCAATACTTCAGCATAATATTCAATGAGAATCAATTTGTTGTCACAATACGAATACGTCTGTATCAGATCAATTCGATCAGCTGTCACTCTCTTTGGGAATTTGAGTCAATAATTAGCAGATATCCTGGAAACTCAGAAGAACATTGTTACATTGTAGCATTATGTAAATATATTAAAGTCTCACGACATTCGTGTTGACAAATATAATAGCAATAATGCAATTGTAAACGATTAAATAGAATTAAAATAGATGGTCATTTATGTGTGCCTTACGAGTCGCGATGCTCCTGTAAACATAAATATTCTGAATAGAAGCGACGGGTTGTTCAGAATTACTGGACTGCAGCAGCAGAAATGCTGCTCTCTCAACCTGTTCTCCCAAAAAGTAGCAGGCACATTGCTCAACAACAACAACAACAACAACAACAACAACAACAACAAAAGGAATTAAAACTCTACCGTATAACACTCCAATAAACAATATTTAAAAAAACAAAAACAGTCTTCACATATTCTACAATGACTTAGTAGGTAGTACAGAACAAATCCACTACAGCAGTTCTTTACATACCAAGAATATCAGAAACGTTTTTGTTTCATTTCAATGATAAAAATTTGCTTGCAGCTAGCCTCTTCCTTGGTGTCTTGTTTTCACATAAAGCCAGCTCTGTTGTAAGCAGTGACGCACTGGGTATAATAATTTAGTAGGTACGCTCAGTATGAGAATGGGTGGAATAACATTATCAAATATTTGCATTTTTCAGCCAAAGTCGAGAATATTTCATTGTATTTGTATTTTCCCCCGAGTTCTGGAGTACCTAACGAAGTCATAGACACCTTTCAAATGATCAAAGGCTGCATAGTTTTCTTTCAATTTCTTCAGGCATTAAAAAGGGTTTTCTTTTCTCTCTACCGCTTACTCAGTGGGGAGAAAGTTATGTAATGATGTGCGAACAAAAGGCGAATTTTCGCCAGTAACTCTTATTACAGGGCTCTGGTAACGGCAAAGTGGATAAACCTAGTAGCTAAATTTAGAAAAGAAAACTATCACGTGATGTAGTCAGTTTCCATGTTTTCTGGGTTCTTAATACCGAAAAATCGCATGACAGCCTAATTGTCCGCAAAACCAACAAAAGTTTCTTCCAAGTTCTATCACTGTGAGGTGATATAC